CATAGGTTCCCGACCCCTGGATTAGGGTGATGTGTGAACTAGTCCCTGAATTAATTTAGTTTTGTCTCTGAGTATGACTAAATCTGGATCTAAATTTTTGAATATTGTTGCACTATACATATATTTGTAGTATAAAAGTTGTATTTGATACATATGACTAGACTGAAATTAAATAGCTGTTTTTTTCCCCTTTTAATCAGATTCCATGGGTTGAATGAAAGGATCTCTATGAAAGATTATGCAAAGCAAGTGGAATTTCTCTTCCAACTAATTCAAAATTGTGATTTGAACCAACCCACAGAACCAAATACATACCATCATGAGCTATAGAATAAGAAAGTACAAAGACTTGTGGGAATTCTTAGAAATTTGAATTATTCAAAGCAGCAGTGTTCCATTTTATCCTCAGTTACAGAACTGCATTAATGTATTACAGAGATTTAAAGTAATAACACAACTTAGTTGCACTGCACATTGTTGTGAAACAAATTACTAAACTTAACAATTGACTAAATTACTCTGAACAGTATAAAGAAATTAAGTTTCATACTAAGCTGTACCTCATAGACATTAGAATCTTGATAACTTTAATGCTCTTTGCATGAATTATGTCATTTATGCAATAACATCACAGTGGCTTCTAAAGGAATTAGGTCATTTGTGTGATGACATCTTGACACATCTGATATAATTCACCTCCCATCTCCGCCTCCAGCCAACATCCATGGATGACTTTATTGGACAACAGTAAAGTATTTACATACTGAAGAACTTTTCTGTTATCTTAACTGTATGGAAGGGCAGTTTTGCATAAGAAATGGATTATCCAAAACATCAAGAAACAGACCTTTTGTATCTGCAGATCTGAGGATCACAGAATAACTGGAGCGTCTGGTGCCAAATGTTCAGTATATCACAGAATTATCACTTGAAATGTGACCTATTTCATTATTCTGTTGAATCTCTAAGCTTCACCTCTGCCAGTTGCTTTTCTTATGCTTATTGGTTATTTCATTTTTAGTTTTCTTTTAGCTTCTCTTTTGAGACCATGTTGTTTTAACTGTTTAGCTCAGACAAGACAGATATGAATACCTCCAAGATTGGCAGAGCTATTTCTACTATACAAGCAAAAGCCAAATCACAGGTGATTTATCTCAGGAACAAAAAGTGATTTATCTCAGATCTATATGAAACTAATGGCAGACTTTGGTATTGTTACATTTTGAGAGGGAGCTAATTTACTGAATTTGAATCTATATTAGGGATGGCTAATTAATGTCAAAGCCTCTATTTCTTTGAGAGAAATCTTGTATAGATTCCATGGGTTGAATGAAAGGATCAGGGATGGGATCAGCTTTCATAGCTGGCAAGAGAAGAGCCCCAAGTGTCTGTGTGCTGAGTTGATGGCTGAGCCCAGGTGTCCTTCCAGGACTCTTTTTTCTTCTCTGCCACCCTTTCCCACTGAAAATATCTTTAGTGGCTTCTTTTTGCTCAGCCTAATTGCTAGGGGCACAGATGCGGGGGTGGTGGTGAGAGAGCAGTTTTTGGCAAAATAGCAACCTAGAGTAGCCAAGCAACATCTCTATGCCCTTTGAAGTAGCAATTAGGTTTGGGGGTGGGGGGGGAAGTTCCATTCATGCAATATAGATTTTTTTTGTGGAAGGCATTAAGGAGGAAGGATTGTAAGTTTCACTTAGTCTAATGGTTGATGGCTCTGACTATAATAAGGGGAGGTCATAATTATCTATCTGTCTACTCTCACTTGATTTTTTTAAGGCAGTTTTTTTTTTTGCCTTTAGATTCTTTTATTCTTCAGTGGAGGTATGCTCAGTAGACAGATAATTATATCCAAGGCTTAAATTGAATGCTTGCAAGTTTCAGAGAGTTTGAGTCTTTGGTACTGCTATTGTTGACTGCTACAACCTATTTGACTATAATTAATTGCAAGGTGTTGTAATTCTGGGGTACTTAACTTTTTTTCAGATTGAGGGCTGCACTTGACTTTTGAGTTGAAGCTAGGGCTACATAGAAAATGTAATCAGGCAGTTCTTGGGTTTCTTTTTGTGTTTTATTCAAGTTAGTTTTCTACACTGAAACTGGTTCCTAAAAATGTTGATTCTGTAATTGACTTCAATTGAATGCTACTTTTTAGAAAGTAAGAGGTATTATATATATATATATATTAAGTAATATACTAAGCCAAGAAAGCTGAAATTTTCTTCCATGCTTTGTTCCTTGGAGACGTTCATATGCAACTTTAAAGGCATAGTTATATACTCTTCCCTAATATTTATAATAGAGAATATGATTTAGCAAAATCTATAGCACATGACAATAGGGATAGCATAGGATGATGATACTGTGATTCTTACAGACTATATACTTATTAATGTATTTTCACTATGACTTTATCTGGATGTGCTAACTGCTGAGGCTTGAAATACCAGATTTTTCTTCTTGGCAATAAAAAGTAATTGTCTGTGTAGTGCTGTTTCAATATACTCATATAAATCACTGTGGAGTAGTTTTCTATTCCAATGATTTCTCTACGCTATTTCCTTGAAATAATAATTATACAGAAATAAACTTCCACTAGTTGCCAGCCCTCTGTATCCTGAAGTTCTTTTTTTTCACAAAAACTCTTTGATGATTCATGTGTTGGATGCTCTACTCCACCCCCAGACTTCAATGGCTCACTCTTACAGGGCTTGTCAACTCTAAATGTCATTAGTTATGGTATTGAACAGTTAACTTTGTTAACCACTTTTTTGAACATTATGGGATAGTAAGGCACAGTAATGCTCAAATTTATTTTTGAAGGGGTTTTTTTCCCCTCCAAATGGTCAGAAAAAGGCAAAATATCCTTGTTCTTTTCAACAAAAAGTAATGAAGCTATTTGTCTGAAAGCAGCCTCTGGCTTTGTTGACCCTCATTTAACCAATATTTGTTTGGCAGATCTTCTTGATCAGGCTGTACCCTTGCAGGATGAGCAGTGTGTTGTGAAATAAAAACAGGATTTAGACACCATTATGAAGAACATTTGCAAGGAAATGCTTTCAGTGATGAAGATCAATCACACACTCATTTATGTCAACATTTCTGGAAACAGGGAAATGTCCTCAATTATCTTCCAAGATAGCTGGTGATTACCAAAAAAATCATAGAGGAAAGGGACAGTGCAATATTCTTTTTGTTCTGAATGGGTCAGCCCAGAGACAAGGGTGTGATTTTACTGCATGCCTCCGGTATTATATCAGTGGTTTCAAGATCTTCATGCTTTGATTAGGCTATGGCCCCAAATATTTTAAAACTAAAAGAAAGCTGGAATAGAAACAAGGCTGATTTTATACCAATTGCTTCAGTCACATTGTTTATCCATTCAAAAAATACAGCCTCCATTACAATAATATTACATCTAAGTTTCCTCTCTGTGTAGAAAAAGAGTGGTATTTGGCTTCAGATTCAATGCCTCTAAATTAATGGAATCCAAACACACAGGCTCAAATCATACATTCTGACAATCATGATAGGCTGAGTTTGTACTACACCAGTGTTTCTCAGCTTTGGCAACTTAAAGATGTCTGGATTTCAACTCCCAGAATTCCCCAGTCAGCATACTTAAAGTTGTACTACATGCTAAAGAGAAATCAAACATGCCTTGATAGATTCCTGAAAGCTCCCATAACAATTGATTAAATGCCATTTGGGGGGATATGCTGTGGCCTTTCTTTTTCCCAAGCTTTTCTAGATGAAAATGCCATAGTTTTTATAATATACAATCAAGAATTGTAATATTCAAAGTAAAAGTGAACCCTATATTAACGGTACTGACAGATTCTCTTCCCCTGTTTGATTACATCCATGTATACAATTTAGAAAACCTTTAATTTAATGGATAAAAGTGCAAAAGCATTTTTGCTGCCTTATGCCATAGGCCTACTTCACTGTACTGTGCATTTCATCACTCAAGTATGGATTAGTTATTTGTGAACTGAAGTAACATAACAATTAAAGGCAATGAGAACATCTTTGGTTTAAACCTCACGTTCCCCATCAACCTTCACTGAGAGCCAAGGAAGCTACATAATTGTATGGGTGGGGCCCACTGTGTTCCCTTACTCTCTAGTGATTACACAAAGAAGAGCAACAGAGGAGGAAACAAAAGACAAGGGTTAGTGACCAAAGCAGTGGCCACATGGTCCACATGGGTTGGCTACCTGCTGGCATCCAGCAAAGTTGAAACAAAAGATGGTTACATATCTTTGACTAATTCCACAAGAACAGTTACTTTAGTAGACCAAGTTCCTACTTCTTATAATTTCAGGCATTGAAATGGATATGTGTGTGAGACAGATGGTTTATAATTGTACTAAGACATTATTTCTTTAGCTATTATATTACTGAATAAGCACTATTAGCTGAGTTTTTACAACATGGTAAACCATCATGGTTTACAAACCACAATGGCTGGGTTTGCACAACATACTAAACTAAAACTTAACCTATATTATAGCTTGGCACAATATGTGAATGCTTCCAATGTAAACCATTTCCTCCCTTCTTTCACCTTTACCATTTAAGAAAGCTTTGTATTTTTTAGCTTTGCATTAGTCATGTAAAAGGGCTACTATTTGAGCTCAGAAATTAGCCTGCAATACCAACTCTGAGAATCTATTAATTTATTCCCTAGATTTATTGTGCTATATTAGTAACAAGAATGTTGTCTAATCTGCTGGCCATATGCCAAGTACACATCAGCTCTGTTGAGGAAGTGTATGACTAAAGTATACAAAAACTACTGCATCACATCTAAGACAAGGTCAAATTCCACACCTGCGTTTTCTAAAGCAAGCTGTCATGCCAACTTCTATTTTAAGGCCTGGATTTATTCTGATCCTGTGACTACAGAGCATGCCTGTGTCAGGCTATGCCAGAGAGCAGGATTTTTAACACAAGGTAACCGCTGGTACTCAAATCTAAAGCTCTTGAAAGCTAATCTCTCCACCCTTGACCTCAACATTACCTACCCAAAGTTCCTCTGATTTGCTCATCCCCATTCAGGTCCCTTCTACAGCCTGATTGGTATTGTTCAGATTTTAGAGGCAGGATATCTCTGAATACAAGCCCCCATGACAAACAGTGGGAGTATTGGATGTTGCACTAACACTGCTTATACATTTCCCAGAGGCATTTGTTAGGCTACTATTAAATGTATGGAAGCTTTACAGAGGGAGATCCAAAGTTGAAATAAGGAGGAATGTCCTGACTATGAAAGTTATTAAGCAGAGGAACAGCCTGCCTCCTAAAGTCAGGGGTGCTCCATCACTGAAGGTTTTCAAAAGAAGATTTGGATAGCCATTTGTCCAGGATGGTATGAGGATACCTGCACTGGGCAGGGGTTGAACTAGAAGACCTTGCAACCCTAGTGAAGGGATCAAAAACTAAATTGGCAATATCTAAATTGGCAATGTTAACTTCATAGCTTTAGAGCATGCGCGGAGTTTTCTATAGCCAAACTTCAATACTAACAGCACTTAGCGAAACTGCAAGAGGAAGCAACTAACCACAGATGAGCTAGCTCAGATAATAGGGAAAACTCCTCCCA